GGAATGAGGTGGCATTGTCGTGTGGGGTAATGTTTGGTAAGGGTGCTAAAGTGCGATATTAGGTGCCAACATTGGCTCCACTTTACATCTTGGCCAGTAGAACAGACCCTCTGCGTGGGAGCGAGTAAGATTAATGAATGTCCGGTCAGTAACGATGAAAATTATGGATCGGGTAAGCCACCAGAACGACGAAGAAAGATAGGGCGTTAAACCATCCATCGGGGAGGACGACAGTCAGCAGCCACACGCCATTGCTAATCGTGTCGAGACGTGATAAAGCCGAAAGTCGTGAGCTATAGTCAGAAAAAAAAAAAACAAAAAAATCCTGCGAACACCTCCAACACCCCTCAAATATATATAATCTCTTTTTCTATAGAAGATGTGTACGTAACGACGCCCGGGCTGCGCACCATCTGGATGGGCGAGGACCGCCGCGACGTCCTCGGCGCGCAGCGGATGCCGGGGCAGATGCGCTGGGCGCCCGGCACGGGGAGGGTGTGCGACCCGGGCCACCCCCGGGAGCTGTGGAAGAGCGTCTTCGGAGGCGACGACGGGAGGCCCGCGCTGTTGCGGATGGCGCACGAAGAGCGGGCGGTCGGGGACGGCGGGGAAGCGAGTGTACGCATGGTGGACGTCGAGGAGAAGGGCTGGAAGGGGCGGAGTGAAGTGCTGGTTGTGGACAAGAACGGGGTGAGGAGGAAACACACCATTGAGCCCAGGAGGTTGCTCGGGCAGCAGCCGCACTCGAGGCAGGTCAAGAGACACAAACCGGGTTATTGACATGGGTTGTATATAACCGGAGATATTCACCAGACTGGAACAGAACGCTCGCCGGCATGCAGGCTACTCGCTCGGAGACATATTGACATATTGCTTGCAAAGGCCACTGTTTTCTTGTAGGAAGCATTCTTGCACACACGGGACTGACTGCCTTTGTCCACCAGCTCCATTAAACATCACAGCTCCATGTCAAGCCAACCTTCAGGATGTAGTTACCCTCATCTATATACGCAATCTAATGGATGTAAACGCAACCAGCCAGCCTCAACACCGGCCCAGGTTGACACTTTCACATACCGACATTGGACACCACCGATTTGATCGGTATAATCCACATTGCCCGTCCTGGACCATCAGCGACCGCCTCCACCGCCGCCACCGTCGCCTTGCTCGCGGCGCCCTCCACCCCCGGACACCGTTACCGGACGCCGGCAGACTGATGATCAACGATTAAAACGGCGAAAGACTTCGAGGCAGCCCGCGATTCATTGCACGGAGGAACAAGGCCGGCTTGCTTTGGTACCTGCGTCTATCTGCCTTAGGCCTCATCCCTCTCGGGGACTCCCCCCCCTTCCCCGGCACATGCCACTGGTTCCCTCGGGACATTTCCTGGATGTAAGGCGGGCGAGATCAGAAAGGGGGGGGGGCACGGAAATGAAGACCCGATTTGACGCTGTTATGTTCGCCGCCCCAACAGACGACCCTGGCCTAGCCTGGCCTCTTGACTTGACTCTCGACATGTGCTGATAAGTCGCCCATCACGACATGCCGGGGGCCCATCGACATCCGATTCGAGTCAAGAACGGAAGAAAAGGGAAGAAAGTGGCCTCGAATAAGGCTTGTTCAGCCGGCGAACGCACTGGAGAAAGCTGTCGTTGAAAATGCGAAATCGCTGGTCCCCTGAGTCGCTCCCCGGTCTGGCTATCCCCAAGGCGAAGTCGATCAACGACTAGATGGGTCAAAATGCGCAATCAATCCACTTTCAATCTCCCCGACCCCATGGGTCAGCCAAAAGCCCGTCCTGGGGGGGAAAGCAGGGGGGGCTCGAACCTCTCACACCCGGATAATCATGAACTGGCATTGACAAAATACATTGCGCAGTCGGAGAGTTATAGCGCAGTATCACCCATCTCCTTCATAGGCGTATGAGATTGTTGTGTATGTATGTTTCGTGGCCCTCGAGAGGCCATTGACGCGAGTGTGCCGGGTCTGAGGGACGGGAGAGGTCGGTCTCCAGCCAATGGACCGCGTTTGAATACCCGTTTTTTCAGCTCCCCATGTGGCCATCATACGGATACATTATTTTCCAATAGGGCATGCCGTTCGCGCGCGAAATCTTGTTTTGCGTGCAGGCTGACGGTGGGAAAAGCCGGGTGTGCGCGTGGCTTGCAGATGCGAGAGTGCGATTATCTGCCAGTATTACAGCCCCCCCCCCCCGGCCCCCGGGCGCCGCCCACTCGGCCCTGCGAAAGCCGTGTTACGCGAAAGGGAGGGGAGGGAGAGGGATAGGGAGAGGGGGAAGACGCGTAAAGTGGTTTACCTTATTCGTTCGGTGTTTCTTCTTGTATGGGATGAAAGACACAGAGATACAGAAACAGGGAAGCGAAGAGGGGGGGGGGGCTCGTCCGTCCGCCAAGTTTAGCGTTCGGACGGTGTGTCGCAGCTCGGTCGAGGAATGGTTGAGGGAATGGAATCGGGCTGTTCGAGCTAGTTCCAATCTCCATGCGAGATCTCGAGGGGAGACCCCTGGGAAAATTGAACAGCTGGCAGACATGGCAATCAAAACCGACTACTTGTCAGCCGTTAGAAGCATGTGCTTGCTTGTGTGCGTATATGCATGCATGTTTCTCGGTTGTCGATGGCGATGCTGCGCTGTAAGGGCTGCCGGTCAACATTGCCAAATGAAAATAAACAATCGACAGATGTTTTGATAATCCGTGTCTCGATCGAGAGAGGGCGCTCACAGATATCACCCTACTGCACCTGTAGAAATCCCCGGCGACTGATACTGGGATAAACATGCTTCTGCAACACAAAGCCTCCCCCCGAGCCATGTCCCATTATATTTTCCTCTTGTCTGTGCGGGATGGATGGCAGTATAATGTCTTGGATCCAGGCGCTGCAACACCGCTTGTCCGAACGAACGAGTGGTGAATGACCCTGCCACAGACCGAGGACGAACACAGGCCGTGTTTGTGTTTCGAAACCCAATCAGCCTCCCCGAACAACAACATACGCTGCCGTTCTTGTTAGAAGCGACGAAGGCACGCTACCGTTGGCTGGTTTGCGTTGCAAACCGCTTCTCCTGGGGCTGAAATCCTGCACCAGTTCGAGACGTTCAGCTCGCTGCGTGCGAGCCACCTGGCAATCCCTCGGTGTGCGCATCGAATTGCATGACGGCACTGCCGATTGCTTCGTCGCAGCCGCCAAGGCAAATTCGCCCAGGCGAATGGCACCCCTGGCACGAGCTTTATACGATGTTACCTATGGCACCTAGTGTAGGCCCGGGGTATGACGCCCTCCCCAAAGGACCCGAAATAGGCAGGCCGGTCGGCGCACCCGGTGTCCCATTTGTGGGGACATCAGCCCGGGGAATGCAACTTGTCCTGCAGGATTCGAGGGATGGAGAAAAGCCCTCAGGGGGGTAAATGTAAGTCGCCATTGAGGAAAGATATCTCTAGATTAAGCTGGCGGGGGGGGAGACGGACATGTGCGTCGCCAGACGGGAGGTTACCTGGTCTGAGGATGAGTTCACGTAGAGCAAAGCAGCATGCCAAGAGCGAAGCCGGAAAGCCGGATGTTGCTGCGGGCAGCTGTGATTTGAGTGGTGCTCAGACCGGTTCGTGATAACTTCTGTGGAGAGCGTAGGGACCGGGTGGGGAGCCGAATTGGCAGGTCGACGGGGGCGGACGGTGTCTTGTTTGATTGAACCTTGGCCCGCAGCGAATGGCATGATGCCGACCAACAGGCTTCCTTGGAACCCGAGACGTTGTATCTGTATGCACCCAAGACCAAGGCCATGCCGGAGGAGAGTGTTTCTGCCATATTGTGCGTGCTCAGGACTATCTGTATCGTTCCACAGAGAGTCCACACTGCTTGGCTGGCTGGCCTTCTCCGAGATGGCGCGATATGATATGTGCGTGCCTGTTTGCCGCCCGGGCTGGAATGGGGGACGTGTCCTCGGGTTCTTTGATTTGAGGCGTGCGTATCTGCAGCTGGAACACTAGCAAATGCGACCGACCATATGTCACGAGTTGATGACAGCGAACCAGGTTTCTACATCGGTTGTCCGTCCGTCGTTAGGTGAGGAGGTGGTTGGAGACTTTCTTTCCTGACGCCAGGATCCAGCCTGGAGCAACGTGGTATGGAGGCACAGAACCGAACACTCATTTACCGTTTCCGTGGTGAGAAGCGAGCGATGATGGACCGACCGACCATTTGGATGCCGATGGTTGCTTGGAGTGGCACGCTATCGACGCCTTAGCCGGCATGGGGCAACAGCGTCAGTTCAGAACTCACAGATCGGTTGGTTGAAAGTCTGATAGGCACTTCGCCTGTGCGTAGCTGTCTCTGACGAAACTCTCCACCACACGCTGATCCCCGAGGTCAACTACGTATTCGTAAAGGCAGTGGTGAAACAAAATTTCCATAATATGGCGGCGAGCCGTGTGAGCAGCGCAGGTGTTCCGGCACAAAGCTCCTCCATAGAGTCTGCTGCACCTAGGCAACAGGCTGGGGGCTTCCTTGCAGCCTCGCGTCATGACATTGAACTCTCCCAGGCTGAACGGGGAGCAGCTTGCTAAAGGCAATGGTCCATCGGCAAGTCTTTGCTTTTTCTTGGCAGCTCCATGACATGTGGCGGTATTACCGTGTCTGAACCGGAGAAACCCTACAGCTCGAGTGTTTCTGAAGTGCGTTTAGTAAAAAGGCACCAGTTCCTTTCGTAATCCATCGAGAGAGTACATGTTGCAAGGGCGACTGATCATTCCTCAGGCGACGGGATATTGCGATTGAATGTCACCGTGTCAATGGGACTTAGTGACGGGTGAGGCGGGCGAGCTGCGATTTAGGCCTCTGATCTCGTTGGCCAGCGAGCTCTGTGCCTGAATCAAAAGGGACGATCACTACCGCAGCCACGCGACTCAGCTGCTAGATCTGTCATATCAGGCACCAAAGCTTGAGATGACGAAAAGGCAGAGAGAGCTGTTCTCGACCGGGAGCCCGGCGGATCGTTTTTGTGAGTACCTTGCAGCGTGGCTTGGCCCGACTAGCTACTTAGAGCAGTGTGCTTGCAAAAAGGGCGCGCAACTCCTGTCAATGCCATGTGGTCCGTTCCAACGTTTGAGGCCCTCCTCATCGTAGCAATCAACTTGACGAAGGCTTGCCGGGGTGTTCGCTCTCTGGTGCGGCAAACAAGTGTTCAATTGGCGACTTGACTTGATGGGCCGATGGATGGGCAGGTTGCGGCACCGATGGAGGGCGAAACTTCCTCCTCGTAAGACAGCAGTGGGGGGGAGACGATGCTACTTCGTACATAGTAGAGTTTGCGGCGATGTTTCCTGGACACGCGCAGGAGGTCTGAAACACTGGTAAACTCGACGATTTGCTCTCTCCCCTCGCCACCACACGGGCTCACGCGGGCGGCGGCGGCGGTGGTGGTGTTGAGCGACCACGCGGGGGAGGTTCTGACCCTGGTTTTGCTTCTATTCCTGTTGCTCACGGCGGTGCACGCACATAGACTAGCAGGGCAGGGCAGGACAGAGCGTAGTTTCCAGTCCTGCTTAAGTTGGGTTAGTGATGGTTGCAGTGGATGGGACGGCAGGCGATCAATGTGCAGCTATTCCCCTGGGCCTTCAGTCAGGGACAAGGATTTATATATAGTGTAGGAAAGTATCGAATGCTCTGATTCAGGGACGTTGGGCGCGCGGCTTGACGACGGACCTCGCAGGCGGCACGGCATGGGGGGGTTGCTTGTGATGAAATGAGTGAGGAGCATGCCG